TGAGCCACCGCGCCCAGCCAGAAACCCCGTCTTTACTCAAAACACAAAATTATTCACAGGGAACAAAGCAAAAACAAAAACAAAAACAAAAAACATAGCCAGGCATGGTGGCACATGCTCATAATCCCAGCTGCCCAGGAGGCTGAGGCAGGAGAATTGCTTGAACCCAGGAGGCAGAGGTTGCAGTGAGCTGAGACAGCACCACTGCACTCCAGCCTGGGCAACAGAGTGAGACTCCATCTCAAAAAAAAACAAAAATGGGGGCAGTGACCCAGTGAGCCCCCTGTGAGCTGTGAACGAGTCCGTGGGAGCGCCCAGCAGGTCCCCAGGGCAGGGTGCTGCCTGGGGTGGGGCTGTGTGCATTCCTCCTCCTCTTGTCCCCAGATACAAGTCACTGTGCCCAGAGACGTGGCCCTCGTGGGCAGGACGGCCGCAGGATGGAGTGGCTGTGCTGGTGCGGCACCTGGGCTACAAGCCAGAAGAGTATAAGATGGGCAGGTGAGTGGTGCCCGCACCTGGTGGATGGGGGAGGGGTGGCAACCCAGGGCTCATCACTGCTGCTCTCCCAGGACCAAGATCTTCATCCGCTTCCCCAAGACCCTGTTTGCCACAGAGGATGCCCTGGAGCTCCGGCGGCAGAGCCTGGGTAAGAGAGAGGCGGCCAGGCGCGGCGGCTCACGCCTGTAATCCCAGCACTTTGAGAGGCCAAGGCAGGTGGATCATGAGGTCAGGAGTTTGAGACCAGCCTGACCAACATGGAGAAACCCCGTCTCTACTAAAAATACAAAATTAGCCGGGTGTGGTGGTGCATATCTGTAATCTCAGCTACTTGAGACACTGAGGCAGGAGAATTGCTTGAATCCGGGGAGGCAGAGGTTGCAGTGAGCCAAGATCACATCACTGCACTATAGCCTGGGCAGCAGAGCAAGACTCCATCTCAGAAAAAAAGAAAAAGCCAGAGGCACAGTGGTTCACACTTGTAATCCCAGCGCCTTGGGAGGCTGAGGCAGGCAGATCACCCGAGGTCAGGAGTTCAAAACTGGCCTGGCCAACATGGCAAAACCCCGTCTCTACTAAAAATAGAAAAGTTGGCCAGGCAAGGTGGTGCATGCCTGTAATCCCAGCTACTTGAGACACTGAGGCAGGAGAATCGCTTGAACCCGGGAGGCGGAGGTTGCAGAGCATAACTCTGTTTCAAAAAGCAAAGAAAAGAGGAACACCACACACACACACACCGGGTCTGGGGAGTAGGGAAGTCACATTCATTCTCCTTCACGACTCCTCCAGCTTCCCCCCTTCTCACGGTCTCGCCACACTTGGAGTGCAGACTCCGCCCAGCTCCCCGTTGGCTCCCCATGCCCTGGCCAATTGCCTTTCTTTTCCAACACAGCCACCAAGATCCAGGCTGCCTGGAGGGGCTTTCACTGGCGGCAGAAATTCCTCCGGGCTAAGCGATCAGGTTCGTGGCCCCGTGGGTGTTCGAGAGGGGCGGGGTCTGGGGTGGGGCCCCGTGGTGAGAAGATGGAGGTCAGCCATCTGGTGCCTCTCCACAGCCATCTGCATCCAGTCATGGTGGCGTGGAACGCTGGGCCGGAGGAAAGCAGCCAAGAGGAAGTGGGCCGCGCAGACCATCCGACGGTGAGCACCAGGATGCCCTTGGGGGTTGCAGAGCAGGACGTGAGGTGGTTTCACCAGGCCCCTCACCCCCGCCCCATCTTGCCCCACCCAGGCTCGTCCGAGGCTTCATCCTGCGCCACACCCCACGCTGCCCCGAGAACGCCTTCTTCCTGGACCACGTGCGCACCTCTTTTCTGCTAAGGCTGCGGAGGCAGCTGCCCCGGAATGTCCTGGACACGTCCTGGCCCACGCCTCCACCTGCCCTGCGAGAGGTTTGTGGATGCCCCCACCAAGTGAGGTGCCCTCAGAGTACACAGCAGAAGGATCTGGTTTCTTGGGGCCAAAGGATCGGTCAGGAGGCTCATGGACGGCCGGGACCAGAGCTGGGCAGTGAAGAGTAAGGTCTCTTTTGTTCGTTTTTGTTGAGATGGAGTCTGGCTCGGTCACCCAGGCTGGAGTGCAAGTGCCCCATCTCAGCTTGCTGCCACCTCCGCCTCCCTGGTTCAAGCAATTCTCCTGCCTCAGCTTCTTGCAGAGCTGGGATTACAGGCACCTGCCACCACGCCCAGCTAATTTTGGTATTTTTAGTAGAGACAGGGTTTCACCATGCTGACCAGGCTGGTCTCAAACTCTTGACCTCAAGCGGTTTACCTGCCTTGGCCTCCCTAATTGCTAGGATTACAGCCCTGAGCCACCGTGCCCAGGCAAGAGTAAGGTCTTTTGAGAGGACTTAGGAGGGGAAGCATCATCCAGATGGAGGGACATTGCTTATCCGAAAGCCAGGGTAGCATGGCTTTGATGTCTTCAGAGGGAAGGGCCCGCGCTGTCCAGGAGCTCTGACCCCACTCTTCCCCCAGGCCTCAGAGCTTCTGCGGGAGCTGTGCGTGAAGAACATGGTGTGGAAATACTGCCGGAGCATCAGCCCTGAGTGGAAGCAGCAGGTAGGAGAGCGGGGCTGGGTGAGGACACGGCAGCGGAGTTGGGAGCCACAGGCATAGCTCAAAGGGTGTCGGCCTGGAGGGGCACTTTCCCCAGTCTACCGTATTTACCCCAGTCTACCATGTTTACCCCAGTCTACCATATTTACCCCAGTCTACTGTATTTACCCCAGTCTATCATATTTACCCTGGTCTGCTGTATTTACCGTAGACTACTGGCAACCTCAGTTGGATGCCAGGCCCTGCTGGGTCTCATGTAGGAAGTGGAGGCTGGAGTACCTTTTGGGTGGCAAATAGGGTTCGTCTCATGGGCCAACTGCCCTTGATTGGTAGAGACGGCTCAGAACCCTGTGTTGGAAAGTCAGTGTCTTCACTGGGATCGATTGATGATGTCTGCCCTGGTTACAGCCATTGGTGGATGTGCCTTGTATTTGCCAGCTCAGTACTGGATGATGCTCAGGGACCCACCCAGCTTAGATAACCTACAGTAACCCTGAATATTAGTGATACATTACCTACAAGACTCCAGGATGGAGCTGAATCTCAGGGGCGCCCGGGCCTGATGGGGTGGGGAATCATTTCCAAAGCCAGTTTCACAGCCTGACAGCTGCTGGGAGTTCTTGATGGGAGCAGAGGGTAAGGAAGTGGGAGGTTGATGGGAGTGTGGGGGCCAGGGCTCAGCCTCCTGGTGCTGGGACCAGAGAGCGGGTGAGGGAGGCTGTCTCAGGTCCTGATGCTGGCCCTGCCCCCGAAGATGGTGCCCCCCCTCATGACACTCTTCCCCCACCTCCTCAGCTGCAGCAGAAGGCCGTGGCTAGTGAGATCTTCAAGGGCAAGAAGGATAATTACCCTCAGAGCGTGCCCAGGCTCTTCATCAGCACTCGGCTTGGTGAGCCCCTGACTTCCCAGCACTCCGGCCTTTTCTGGCCGTCCTGGTCCCCCGTCACCTTCTCTGACCTCCCTCCCTGCCATCTGGGTTGCAGGTGCGGACGAGATCAGCCCCAGAGTGCTGCAGGCCCTGGGCTCTGAGCCCATTCAGGTAAGAGCCTTCCCGTAGCGCGCAGTCCAGCAGCACGATTCTGCCGCCAGGAGCTGGAGGCAGGTCCAGGCACGGTGGCAGCGGAAGCGTCTGCCCAGCCCTTCAGCCTGGCCTCTGTCCCCAGTACGCCGTGCCTGTCGTGAAATATGACCGCAAGGGTTACAAGCCCCGCGCGCGGCAGCTCTTGCTCACACCCAACGCCGTGGTCATTGTGGAGGATGCCAAAGTCAAGCAGAGGATCGATTACGCCAACCTGACCGGTCAGCCAGAGTCCAGGGTGGCGGGGGAGGGCCCTGCTCTGATGCCCCACCTCTGACCTCTGCCCTCCCCCTCAGGAATCTCTGTCAGCAGCCTGAGCGACAACCTGTTTGTGCTTCACGTACATCGTGAGGACAATAGGCAAAAGGTGCCCTTTTGTGGGTGGGGGAAGTGGGGGGGGTCCTCGAGTTCTGGGCAGGGCATAACCCCTCCTGCCTGGTCCCCCAGGGAGATGTGGTGCTGCAGAGTGATCATGTGATTGAGACACTGACCAAGACAGCCCTCAGTGCCGACCGAGTGAACAACATCAACATCAACCAGGGCAGGTGAGGTGTGAGGGGGCCGGGTAGGTGCACGGGGCCAGGGCGGGGGTGGCAAGGGGGCCAGGTGGGTACATGGGGACAGGGCGGGGGCAGGGAGAGGGCTGTGGGGGCACACCAGGACAGGGCAGAGGTGGGGACAGGGCTATGGGAGCACACCGGGACAGAGCAGGGGTAGGGACAGGGCTGTGGGGGCACACTGGGACAGGGCAGGGGTGGGGACAGAGCTGTGGGGGCACACCAGGACAGGGCAGGGGTGGGGACAGGGCTATGGGGGCACACCAGGACAGGGCGGGGGTGGGGAGAGGGCTGTGGGGGCACACGGGTTAGGGCAGGGGTAGGGAGAGGGCCATGTGGGGGCAGATGGGAGGGCAGAGGCAGCAGGGGGCCATGCGGGTGCACGGGGGCAGGATGGGGTTCACCTTGGGGTTGGGGTCTGTCTCCGTGAGAAATCCTCACCCACCCTTTTCCCCCAGCATCACATTTGCAGGGGGCCCTGGCAGGGATGGCACCATCGACTTCACCCCCGGCTCAGAGCTGGTCATCACCAAGGCCAAGAATGGGCACCTGGCTGTGGTGAGTGGGGCCTGCTTTCCTGCTCTCGGCCTGGGTGGCGATGGCCAAGCCTTCCTTGGCTGTGGGCTTGGCAGACCTGGGCATCTCACCCATGGGCCTTAATCCAGTGGGCACCATACCTCCTCCCCCATCCCTTAGCCACCCGTGAGGGCCAGAGAGAGAGGCCGTTCCAGCCCCTCAATGCGGAAAGTTGTAAAGATGGCAGACAGAACAGCACAGTGGCTCCCACCTGTAACCCCAGCACCGAGGGAGGCCCAGGCCCTCCTCACCTGAGGTCAGGAATTTAAGACCAACCTGACCAACATGGTGAAACTCCATTTCTACTAATAATACAAAAATTAGCTGGGCGTGGTGGCAGGTGCCTATAATCCCAGCTGCTAGTGGGGGCTGAGGCAGGAGAATTGCTTGAACCCGGGAGGGGGAGATTGCAGTGATCCAAGATGGCACCACTGCACTCCAGCCTGGACAACAGGGTGAGACTCCATCTCAAAAAAAAAAAAAAGTTAGCCTGGCATGGCGGTGGGTGCCTGTAGTCCTAGTTGCTTAGGAGGCCGAGGTGGGAGGATCATTTGAGCCTGGGAGGTTGAGGTTGCAGTGAGCCAAGATCTCACCACTGCACTATAGCCTGGGTGACAAAGTGAGACCCTGAAAAAAAAAAAAAAAAAAAATGCAGTGCAGCAATGCAGGGAAGATACGGGATGACTGGGAGGTGCCAGGAGGGAGGAGAGGCCCACTCCGCTCAGGGCAGCGGGCATTCCTCTGGGAGTCAGGTGGGAGTCTCCAGGTTGGAGGCCACTAGGTCCCCCCGCTCCTGACTGCATTGAACCCATGCACCTAAGTGCTGGGGCCAGGCACGGTGGCTCCTGCCTGTCATCCCAGCTCTTAGGGAGGCAGAAGCAGGGGGATAGCTTGAGCAATATAGCAAGGCCCCACTACACACACGCACACGCGCGCATGCGCGCACACGGTCACGCCAGGCACAGTGGCTCCAGAGTGAGATTCCATCTCAGAAAAAAAAAAAGTCGTAAGTGCTGGCCCACCCCCATGTGCTCCCCTCACCACCTGAGCGTCTCCCTCTGCCCCCACAGGTCGCTCCACGGTTCAATTCCCGGTGATAAAGGCGCCCGCCGGACCCTCCCAACCCCCGATGCTTCGCTTACCTCCCCCCACAGCTGCCAAAGACTCGAACTTCAGACAGGGACCCAGGGATACCCCAAAGCCCCCCTGCAGACTCCCGCCTTCTGCCCAGTCCTCTCCCGAGGGAGCAGAGGGGCCGGGAGCTCCCTGGGGGTGGGCCAGGCCGGGCCACAGCAATGGCAAAGCCAGGGCCAGAGTGACCCGTGCCAGCCCTACTGCCGATGCCAAATATTTGAGAGAAGGGAACTTTTGCTGAGGTTTTCTCTGAGATGTTTTGATGCTTTATAGGAAACTATTTTTTAAAAAGCCATTTCCCACCCCAGGACACACTGGATGTGTTTTCCCTGACTCCAGCAGGGCCGGGAATGTGGCTGAGAAGTGGGGCGGGCTGGGCTCTGGTGCCCTCTTCCCTGGCCAGGCCACCCTCCTCCTCATTCCCTTGGCGCCTTGCCTGTCTGTTCGCCCGTCCCCCTGCCTGCCCACTGTACCTCGTGCGGCCCACTGTGACTTCCACCTGGGGGCTGGGACCACCCTTGCCTGCCTCCTTCTTCCTGCCTAAAGAATGCCCTTTTAGGTTGGGCATGGTGGCTCATGCCTGTAACCCCAGCACTTTGGGAGGCTGAGGCGGGTGGATCACCTGAGGTCAGGAGTTTGAGACCAGCCTGGCCAACATGGCAAAACCACATCTCTACTAAAAATACAAAAGCTAGCTGGGCATGGTGGCGGGTGCCTGTAATCCCAGCTTTTCGGGAGGCTGAGGCAGGAGAGTCGCCTGAACCTGGGAGGTGGAGGATGCAGTGAGCCGAGATCATGCTACTGCACTCCAGCCTGAATGACAGAGCGAGACTCCATCTCAAATACAAAAAAGAATGCCTTTTCACTGTCATGATCATTCCGCTTTGAGGGCGTGCTGGAGTGGGGAAAGACGTCTCAGACCATAGAGGTCCCAAGACCCTTGAGATCATCTAGCCCAGCCCTGATGTTTCAGAGCAGAAGGCGGAGAGGGGAAGGCCTTGCCCACGTCACACAGCAGGTGCTGCAAAACCAGGACTGCCAGCCTCCACGTGCCTCTCTGCTGCTCCCAGGGATGGGGGCCTGTAAAACAGGTCTCTTAAGGGTGGATCTGGCTCCCTCACCAGCCCTCAGCCCTGGGGGCCGCCAGGTGGGAAGAGCGCTTCTGCCTGGGTCCATGCCTTGGTACGGCAGACAGGATGTAGGGCTTTTTCTGGCCCCTGACCCCTCCCTGGCACGGGAACCTGGGGAAGGGGCTGGCCATGGGAGGAGCGGCAGGGGCATCACCTCTTTCTGCTGCTTCTCCCCACCCCTGCCCTCGGGGGCCTGGGGGCTGCCCAGCTGCCTCTGTGCCCTTTGGGGGTCTCAGCCCACTGCTGACACTTCTGCAATCCAGAGAAACACTAAATAAAGCAATATGTGTTTGCCAGTGCGGTCTCCCTGTGAATATCGGGAAAAGGGGGCCTGTGGGAGGCGGCCAAGGGCCTTGGGTTGCAGGGAGTTGTGTTCCATTTTGTTTTGTTCTTGAGACAGTCTTGTCACCCAGGCTGGAGTGCAGTGGTGCAATCTCAGCTCACTGCAACCTCCGCCTTCCAGGTTGAAGTGGTTCTCCTGCCTCAGCCTCCCGATAGCTGGGATTACCAGCACCCGCTACCACACCCAGCCAATTTTATTTATTTTTTTTTTTTGAGAGGGAGTCTTCGCTCTGTTGCCCAGGCTGCAGTGCAGGGGTGTGATCTCAGCTCACTGCAACCTCCGCCTTCCAGGTTGAAGTGGTTCTCCTGCCTCAGCCTCCCGATAGCTGGGATTACCAGCACCCGCTACCACACCCAGCCAATTTTATTTATTTTTTTTTTTTGAGAGGGAGTCTTCGCTCTGTTGCCCAGGCTGCAGTGCAGGGGTGTGATCTCAGCTCACTGCAACCTCCACCTCCCGGGTTCAAACAATTCTGCTGTTTCACCCTCATGCATAGCCGGGATTACAGTCCTCTACCACCACTCCCAGCTAATTTTTTTTTTTCTTTTTGAGATGGAGTCTCGCTCTGTCGCCCAGGCTGGAGTACAGTGGTGTGATCTTGGCTCACCGCAACCTCCGCCTCCCGGGTTCAAGCGATTCTCCTGCCCCAGCCTCCCAAGTAGCCAGGATTACAGGTATGCACCACCGCATCCAGCTAATTTTTGTATCTTTAGTAGACATGGGGTTTCACCATGTTGGTCAGGCAGGTTTTGAACTCCTGACCTTGTGATCTACCCGCCTTGGCCTCCCAAAGTGCTGGGATTACAGGCGTGAGCCACCAAGCCCAGCCATTTTTGTATTTTTAGTAGAGATAGGGTTGCACTGTATCCATCAAGCTGGTCTTGAACTTCTGACCTCAGGCGACCCACTTGCCTTGGCCTCCCAAAGTGCTGGGGTTACAGGTGTGAGCCATGGTGCCCAGCCACAGCTAATTTTTTTGTTTATTTTTAGACAGGGTCTTGCTCTGTCACCTGGGCTGGAGTGCTCACTGCAGTCTTGATCTTCTGGGCTCAAGTGATCTTCCCACCTCAGCTTCCCAAGTAGCTCGGACTACAGGCACGCACCAGCATGCCTGGCCTCCTAAAGTGCTCGGGTTACAGGTGTGAGCTGCTGCACCCGGCCTGCATTGCTGTTTTGGCCTTGTCTTCAGGAGTGAGGCAGGGCCCCCACCCTGGGGAAGGGAGTGGCCAGCAGGGGCACTGTGGACCCAGACTCATGCCTTCATCGACTGTGTGGCTGAGGATAAACCAGCATCACAGGCAGACCTGGCCCTGTGGTCCTCAGCCGGGTGGGCAGAGCTGTGGGCAAGACAAGGCCCCCATGCAGGTGGTGCAGTAGCAAGGGCATGCTGATGAGACGGGCTCAGACGGCGGGGAAGAGGGGTGCTGTGCACATGTCCTAGAGATGACATAGGAACTGGGTCCCAAAGGATTGTTCACTTGTTCTGGCTGGCGCAGTGGCTCACACCTGTAATCCCAGCACTCTGGGAGACCGAGGTGGGCAGATCACCTGAGGTCAGGAGTTCGAGACCAGCCTGGTCAACATGGTGAAACCCCGCCCCTACTAAAAATACAAAAATTAGTCAGGCATGGTGGTGCATGCCTGTAATCCCAGCTACTCAGGAGGCTGAGGCAGGAGAATCATTTTAACTCAGGAGGCAGAGGTTGCGGTGAGCTGAGATCACACCATTGCACTCCAGCCTGAGCAACAGGAGCATAACTCCATGTCAAAAAAAAAATAAAAAAGGGATTGTTCTCTCGTTCAAATCCTTTTTTTTTTTTTTTGAGATGGAATCTCGGTGTGTTGCCTAGGCTGGAATGCAACGGTGTGAGATCTCAGCTCACTACAACCTCCGCCTCCCGGGTTCAAGCAATTCTCCTGCTTCAGCCTTTTGAGTAGATGGGATTACAGGCGCCCACCACCACACCCGGCTAATTTTTTGTGTTTTCAGTAGAGACGGGGTTTCACCATGTTAGCCAGGTTGGTCTCAAACTCCTGACCTGAGGTGATCCTCCTGCCTCGGACTCCCAAAGTGCTGGAATTACAGGCATGAGCCACTGGGCGTGGCCACTCCTTGCTCAAATTCTGTTGCAAGTGACAAACGCTTGCTTGGGCAAAAAAAAAAAAAAAAAAAAAAAGGGCATGTATTAGCACTGGCACCTTGGTCCCAGGGCAGGGCTGCTGCTGGTGCTCACACGTTGTCGGGAATTGTCTGGAACCGTCGCTTGGCTCAGCCTTCTGCACGGTGGCTCCTTTCCCAAGCAGATTCCCACCTCAAGGTGAGGTGGCAGCAACAGCCACCCACAGCTCCAGGCTTTTATTCCGTCAGTTCAGTGTTGGAGGTAGAAAGAGCAAGTGTCTCTCCCAAAATTTTAAAGTCTTAGAGCGGATTCTCAGTGCACCAAGTTGAAGGAGGTACTCCGCCCTGAGCCAATCACCGCAGTGACGGAGAAGGGCCGGTTCTGATTGGTCAGGCCTGGATGGAGTGCCAGCCCCCCAAGAGAGCCCTGTGAACCTCAACCGGAAGCCAGGAGGACCAAGAGTGGGAGAGGAGGGCTGATTTCATTTTGGGGAGAGGGCTCCCAAAATGAAATCAGTGTCGCCTCCACAAGAAAGAATGAGCGGCCCGAGTGCCATGACTCACGCCTGTAATCCCAGCACTTTGGAAGGCCGAGGCGGGCGGATCACCTGAGGCCAAGTGTTCAAGACCAGCCTGGCCAACATGGTAAAACCCCCTCTCTACTAAAAAGACAAAAATTAGTTCGTTGTGGTTGTGTGCGCCTCTAGTCCCAGCTACTCAGGAGGCTGAGGCAGGAGAATCGCTTAAACCCGGCAGGCGGAGGTTGCCCTGAGCCAAGATCACACCGTCGCACTCCAGCCTGGGCAACAAGAGCAAGACCCTGTCTCAAAAAAAAAAGAAAAAAAAAAAAAAAAAAAAAGACGAGGCCGGGCACAGTGGCTCACTCCTGTAATCCCAGCACTTTGGGAGGCCAAGGCGGGCGGATCACGAGGTCAAGAGATCGAGACCATCCTGGCCAACATGGTGAAACCCGTCTCTACTAAAAATACAAAACTTAGCTGTGCATGGTGGTGCGCGCCTGTGGTCCCAGCTACTTGGGAGGCTGAGGCAGGAGAATCACTTGAACTCGGGAGGCAGAATCACTTGAATCTTGCAGTGAGCCAAGATTGCACCACTGCACTCCAGCCTGGCACCTGACAACAGAGCAAGGCTCTGTCTCAAAAAATATATATATATACAAAAATAAAAAAAAAAAAAAAGGGGGGGGGATGAGGGATGAAAAAAAATACAAAAAGTGGGGCATGGTGGCGTGCATCTGTAATCCCAGCTACTTGGGAGGCTTAGGCAGGAGACTCACTTGAACCTGGGAGGTAGAGGTTGCAGTGAGCCGAGATCGTGCCATTGCACTCCAGCCTGGGTGACCAAGTGAGACTCCATCTCAAAAAAAAAAAAAAAAAAAGAGAATGAGAGAATGAAGGCTTCAGGCTGCAACCACGGTGCCAGCAGATGGCTGCTTTTCCAGAGAGCGGCGTGCTGTGGGTGGAGGGAACCGTGCATGTGGGGCTTAGAGGCAAGAAAAGGTTTAGCCCAGTGTCAGGACAGCTGCCCAAGGAGCTTAGATTTCTAACCTGAGGCAGAGCATGTCAAACAGTGAGGTGCCACGTGAGAGACCACGCAACGTATGACGCCCTGGGCTCCACACGCTCCTGTCTGCACACCTAAATGTTGATGCCTCTCCTCACGACTCTGTTTCCCAAGGAGAAATGAAAGCACCACAATAATTTGTCCACTTTATCAGTAGTAACAGTGGCTCCAAGAAGCTGATAGATAAGATAGGTATTGAGGTAAGGGCAATTACACCCTTCATAACTGTGACACATTCCTTTCTCTAGCAAAGCAGAATACATGTGAGAGCTCTGCCTTTTTCTTTTTTTGTGACGGAGTCTCTGTTGCCCAGGCTGGAGTGCAGTGGTGGGATCTCAACTCTCTGCAACCTCTGCCTCCCGGGTTCAAGTGATTCTCCAACTTCTGCCTCCCAAGTAGCTGGGACTACAGGTGCGTGCCACCACGCCCAGCTAATTTTTGTGTTTTTAGTAGAGACGGGTTTCACCATGTTGGCCAGGCTGATCTCAAACTCCCAACCTCAGGTGGTCCTCTTACCTCGGACTCTCAAAGTGCCGGGATTACAGGTCTGAGCTGGCCTCCTTTGCACATTTCAAGACGACTGGCCCCTGTCTGCAAAACTACAGGCTACCCATTGAGGTGACTGGGGTGCCCCCTTCTCATAGTCAATCCCTTAGACATTTCCCTGTCTCCTTTGTACCCCTCCTGTTTCCATATCTGGATGAGAACAGGGCTGAAATGTATTTTCCCACCACCGTAAATTGTACTTGCACACACCCACCTTCTCTCTTTCCCTTACACACATTTGGAAGGTGGTACTGTCAGCTTTCTCTTTAAATAGCAATTTTTGCTTGCTACAAATAATTGTCTTTTTAGGCTGGGCATGGTGACTCACGCCTGTAATCCCAGCACTTTGGGAGGCTGAGGTGGGTGGATCATTTGAAGTCAGGAGTTCTAGACCCACCTGGTCAACACGGTGAAACCCGTCTCTAATAAAAATACAAAAATGAGCCGGCCGTGGTGGCAGACACCTGTAATCCCAGCTACTCGGGAGGCTGAGGCAGGAGAATTGCCTGAACCCAGGAGGCGGAGGTTGCGGTGAGCCGAGATCGCGCCATTGCACTCCAGCCTGGGTAACAAGAGTGAAACTCTGTCTAAAAAAAAAAAAAAAAAAAAAGGCCTTCTTTAGTCAGGAGAGTTGGGAGTGGAAGATTTGGGTGTATTTTTCTCTTGGGATGAGCAGGCTTCCATTCTCTCCCCCCTCCATCTGC